GCTATGAATGGACTAATAAGATGAACCATTTTCAAAAAAAGAAACACAAATGACCAATAACTATTTTTAAAGTGTTCTACATCACTGGTCATTGGGAAATTACTCCGAGACCCCCATCAGAAGGGCTATCACCAACTCTGACACAAATGGAGAGGCTACGGGGAAAAAAATAACCCCTTCACACTGTGGGTGTGCAAATTAACACACTCATTATGGAAATCCATTAGGAGACTCCTCAAAAAGTTCAAAACAGCGCTACCCTATGACCCAGACATCCTGGGAACATACTCAGAAAACTCCGTATCTTACTAAAAGAGATATTTGTGTGTCTTTTTAAAAAAAAAAAACATTTTCTTTAACTTTGAAGTGAATTTCGTTACATTTTAAGAAAATGACATTTGACACCCTCTCTGTTACTCTCTTTAACCACCACTGGCTAAACCTCTTCCTGATGAATATCTCGCTTTCATGGCTTTGGTGCTGGGGTGTGTGTGTGTGTGTGTGTGTGTGAAATAGCGTTGCTTGCGTGAGTGTGGGTGTGTGGTCCCTTCCTAGAACAAGGGTAACTTGCCAGTGGTTACAGCACTGAAGAACACGTGGGCTCAAGTTCTCTGTCAGCTATGGGATTCAGGGATGTTTTATCCCATCTATAGTTTGCCTTTCATTCCCTTAATGCCTCGCACAGAACAAGTTTGAAGTGTTGAAGCTTACTGGGTTGACTCCTGTGGGCATGTTGAACTCCTCAGTTAATGCAGACTGTCTTTTCTCTAGAGGTTTTCTAGTTTTATATTGCAGCCTGTGATACATTTTTAAGTCAGTTGTCCCATGTGATCAACTCGTCATCCCCACATCATCGAGGAAGAATTCCATTTTGCTATTAAATTCTCTGTGCTCCTTCCTAGGCAACCAGCTGGCTTCATTCATGTGGGTCTGATTTGAGACTCTGGCCCATGTCTTTCTCTTTGCCAACACCATCTCCATTATTGTATCTTTCAGTCCTAGAAATCAGATATTGTAAGTGCTTCAAGTTGGTTCCAAAGTTGGTTCTGCGATTTTGGTTCCTTTGTTTTCCACATAAGCTTTAGAACACGCTGATCTAGGCTCACCCACACAGACGAAAGCTACCAGGATCTTTCTTAGAGTTACATTCAACTTAGTCTGCAGAGGTGGCAAGGGGTGAGAGCACTTGCCACTCTTGTGGAGGACTACTTTTAAATCCCAAGTTGGGTCACTCACAACAGCCTGTACCAAGGGGATCTGATACCCTCTTCTGGTCTCCATAATTACCCTCCATGTGCACGTACCCACGACACACACACACACACACACACACACACACACACATTAAAAAAATAAACCTTTAAAAATTACTTTAAGCTTTCAGGTCAGGGGAGTGGGCAGTTGCCTTCTAAATTATATCCATGAAAATGGTCTGTCTTTGACGTCTAATGTGATTTACCTTCATTATACACACCTTTCATGCCTTCTTGACTTATATCTAAGAATTTTTTTGGAATATTTAAATGGATCGTTTTAAAATTTCAATTTCAGCTGTCTATAAGTAATCTACAGAAGTAGTTGGCTTGTGTCTCCCTTTGTTCTGTGGGATAGTTCCTCGTAGGTCCCAGGAATGCATTTGCGCAAGCATGTTAGCACTTCCGTCTAAGCCTCTAACAGACAGAGCTGGGCTCCCTCCCTCTGCAGCCTGCTTGTATCACCTGTACACAGTTCTTTATCATGAGCCAATGAACCGGCTGCTCCTTCTGGCACGAGGTTGAATGAGGGCAAGAGGAGAACTCGTTGCTTTTGTGCCTGGTCTTCAGACAAAAGCGGTCAGCCTGTGTGTGTGAGACGTGTGAAGTTAACCGTGCGGGTTCACTGGTGTCCTGCATCTTCATAAGCTTCTGGGGAGTTTCATCCTAGGCTTTGCTTGTTGAGTGTTTTCATTAAGAATAGTTGTTGAATTCTGTCAGAGACATTTCCTGCCTGGGTTGATGTGCTGTGTGGGTTTTGCTAATGAAGGAGTCTGCCGTCATTGAATTTGGAAACTTGAACCAGTCTTCCGTGCTCAAGATAAACCCCATCTGGCTTTGTTGCACCATTTTTTGTTCTACGTATGATTGGATTTGACGTGCTCGCCAGTCTCATCTGTGCTGCTGTAATAAACCAAAGCCAGACTGCCCAGGGGTGAGGCTCTGCCTAGCTCTGTGCGCAGCTGGGTAAACTGAGGACCAGGTCTTTGCCTCAGAGCTTCAGTTGGCCATCTGTGAAGTGAGGTGATGCTGCGGGTTCCTTGTAAACGGTCGGTTGTGAGGATTACGCCAGTTAATGCTCTCAGCTCATTAACTCAACACAATTGCTCAGAACTATGCCTTGCACTCAAATGCAGATTACTGTGTGTAAAGTGTGTGCCGCGCTTTTGTACACTGTGAAGCCACACACTTAAAAGGGGATGACGGAAAATGCTGGCAGGAGTCCAGAGTGCCTCAGACTGCCCTTCTCTGGCGGGTAAACCTGGGGTCGGGGGATGGATGAGGGGAGGGGGTTAGGGTGAGGCTGCAACCTGGGGTCACACGGCCCTGCAGTGTGCCGCCGATAGGCGACCTCCTGGCTCTTATACTGATCACTGCAAGATCCGGTGCTCCTAAAGGAGAGACAGTGTGACAGGATGTAACAGGAGATGATGAGGTAGTCAATCCAGGAGCAGCAGGGTGGGTGAGTTCTCCCCTAGACTGCCTTCCTGTTCGAGGCAGCTTTCTAGAACCTTCAGAGGAAGGGGAGACCTTGGCACCTACCATACCTTTAGTTGGGACCCTGGTGCATACTGACCAACATGCGCCGCCGCTCGCAGGTGGCCCCTGCATCAAGCACTGTCGCATAGGAGGGCGCCAGCCCTAAGGTATGAGATCACCGGTGTGGCGCCTCCTTTTTGCGAAACTTAGGATCTGGCGCCACCGTGTGGCCACATGAGGAAGCAGCCCACATAGACGATAGGCCGTCCAATGAGGGGCAGGGCGACCTCACAGGGCTTGGACCTACTCTAAGGGCTCAGAAAAGAGATGTGGTGTCCCATCACCCGCAGCTCATTCCCTTATTTCAGTGCGCTTCCCTTCTCAAACCCTTCCCTGGTTCCTCTATGGCATACAGAAGGACCTAGAACTTCTGTACCCAGAGCAGCTATATGCAGGAAGCGCAAGCTCACGATAGAGCCAGAGTTTGGTGCTCAGCCTCAGTTTCCCCACTTTTGAAATGGCGATCATCAGGCCTGCTCACATGTGATTGGGCTTCATCCTTCCGGGTTGAGCACACAACTGTTGTTCTGGAGTGAAGACCCCATTTTGCAACCAGAGGTCGCAGCACTTTCAGTTTTAAACGTGTGTTGCGTATGTGTGCTTTCCAGTCTAGACTTTGAGCATGGTTTCCCACCTGCGCAGTCTTCGGGTGACTCGTGAGGACAGCCTTTCTCTTGTCTCTCATACCTCTTTCTCCAGCAGGCTTAGGGTCTGCCATGAGCATGTTGTGAGATTCTGGTCCTGCTCGGAGTCCCCAGTCCCAGAGAAGAGGCATTCCCAGCATGCACTTGCTTCTTCCGTGGGTGCCGTGCTATTCAGTGAGATGTACCAGGGTGCCATCAGCAAGTCCCTACTCACGCACGGCTTCTGCGCTCCGGGGGGAAGCTAAGACAGATGAGAGAGAGAGAGAGAGAGAGAGAGAGAGAGAGAGAGAGAGAGAGAGAGAGATCTGAGGGAGCAGGAGAGGAGAGCTGGTGAGGCCTTAAGCTCCCAGGAGGGCTGGGGGTTATTCTGAGCACTGGGAAACCTGCGCTCCAGAATCTTCTGAGAGCACTCTGGGTGCCTCGTGAAGAGGGATTCTTATGGAGCAGGAGTGGACAGCACGTGCCCGTGAAGAGGTGCCGGTGTCACTGCATGGAGAGAACAGAGAGGGCTATCCAGCAGGCTCAAGTGGGTCGTGCCCTAGGGCCAGCGAGCCTGAAGGGGGCTGTCAACCCTCTGCGCTGTCTGTATGGTTCCAGCTGAGGAATGTGTCTCTGTGTGTATGGTTCCATTCTTGAACCATTCGGAAGCTCTACTTTTTTGACCCTTGTGTTTGGACAGGACCCCACTCAGACAGGTCTACCATATCCTGGGCTCTTCCTCTGTCCTGGCCCTCACCCATAGGCTGACTGGCACCCAGGCTGAGGGCTGGGCTGAGTAGAGCCACCAAATCCTTAGAGACAAAGCTCCAGAAAATTCTGGTGATGGTGAGGCTAACACAGGAAGGGGACCACTATACATGTGCTCGCTACCCACCCTGTGAAGCCTCCTCACTGAAGAGGAGGGCCTGGCTCTCCAGCTAGACCTGCTTCCTAGCACTTTTGCGGCTCCTCACAGATTTGTGACTGTCCAGACCCGGAGGCTCCCTACAGGCCTTGGGGGCCAATAACCTTGGGCCAATTTCTGCTTGAGCCTCCATTCAGCAGACTGAGCACATGTGGGGTGTGTGGGGGGTCTAACCTTTCAGAGGTCCAACTGGTCTCTATGGGGATATACCCACCTCCTCCACATGTGGGTATGGCCAGTCAGAGAGTGGCTCTTAGGAGCATCACAAGTTAGTTCTTTTCCTGTCTGGAGTAACAAAAATGCCAAGCCTACTGGAATGTTTCCCAGTTCCACCCTGATCCTGTACCCCAAGAAACCCACCTACCTCTGAGCTCATCTGAAATACTCAGCTGATGTGCCTGGGGCATCATTTGGTCAATGCTCCCATTTCCCGGATGTGTAAGTGGAGACCAGGATGGAGAGGCCTGGCCTGGGGTCCCTCGTAGGGCCAGCTCCTCCCATGACTGGACCCCATGCCTCACCTCTTTATCCTTTTGAATCTGAATCCCATTCGAGCTCCTGGGGACCTCAGCAGGAAGTCTGGGAATGCCACCACAGGCGGGTCGCTGTCCTTCTGCAAGCCCCGCCCACACGTATGCTCTGTCCCATGTCTCCCCACAGGTATATCCGCACCATGTACCTGGGGATTCAGAGCCAGCGGCAGAAGGAACACCAGCGACGCTTCTACTGGGCTATGATGTACGAATACGCAGATGTCAACATGCTGCGCCTCCTGGAGACCTTTCTGGAGAGCGCGCCCCAACTGGTGCTACAGCTCTGCATTATGATCCAGAAGAATAGCGCAGAGACGCTGCCCTGTGAGTGCCCGCCGGCCTCTCCCCCCGCACCACCGCCATCACCTCCCCTACCTCCTCCCTCCACCCCCACCCCTGCTGCAATGGCCTCATTTGTCTCCTTCGCCTTTTCCTCAGCACCCCTGTTCCCAAGGTACTTTGTTCAGAAAAGCAGAGCAGGGGCCTAGTGATATAATCCAGTGTGGGGCCCCTTTGGTTTTGCATCGCCCTGGGCCCTGGTATTTCCACATCCGTGGAATGGGGTAACCAGGCCTAATCACAGCACGTGCCAATCACACTGAGGCATGGCAGGTCTTGACATTGCAAACGTCAGGATCTTGCTTCCGATGCATGTCGATGTCTCAGCTCACTTGTAGCAACAGACCGAAGTGGTGGGTGCTCCAGTAAGCACACAAAGGGACTCTGTGCTCCCCACTGTGGCATCACGTCGTCTCCATGGGGCCCTCAGAAGCCACAGAGCGTTGTCCAGACATGCAAGCTCTGGGGTAGGAAGGCTCTTGGCTGTTAGGGATGCCAAGGTTAGACCGCACTGGCCTTATTTATAGCTGATGGCTAGCCAAGCCTACAGTGTTGCAGAGCACATACCAGGGAGTCAGTGATGAGCCAGAACAGGCTCTAGGTTGAGAAGGGACCCGAGGTGGCACACGGAGGGAGAAATGGGATGTTTAGCAGAGGGGGACTTGGGATGTGTGAATCCTAACGTTTGGAGAAATGGGGAAGAAGAAATACCATAGATGCCAATGTACACTCTGGGGGAACTGTTCTACCTTCAGTGGGTAGGAAATGAGAAACCTTCCATCCCACCATGGGAAGACTCTTTCTAGAGTAGTGAGTACCGTGTTGCTAGTTGTATTCAAGCAGAGACACCGCTGAAGGAACCAGACCCAGAGGCCCTGACTGCTGAGGCTTGCAAGAGTATCCGTGGTCTGGGATAGCAGGACAGCTGGGGGAGAGGGCCTACCCTACTTGCCTTCTCTCTTTCTCTCTCTGGCCAGGGGGCCTCCAGACCCTGCAGTCTGTGAGCTGTGCCTTGGCATTTGGCTGTTTGCACTGTAGATCCCCTTGCTGATGGAGCTCCTGAGCCCTAACTGGTTGGCTGTGGGATAGCTCCGCCCCTCTCTGTGCCATTCATGCTGAGGGTATTTAGGCATATGCTAAGGCTGCTACCATCTCCTCGCTGGTTCAGGTTCCTGCCATCTTGGCAGGCGTGCTGGCTTAGGGCGGGCTTGGAAAGCAGCCTGGGCTACTGGGGAAGGCAGCATACAACTTGAGCTCAGCCATGGAGACTTAGGATGTGGGACGGTTCCTTTCCAGCTGTGTTTCTTTATCTGTAAGATGGAAATAAGAACCAGCTGTGCTCAGGGAGCACCTCAGAGGCACGTGTCTTCCCAGGAATCTTCCAAGGTAACTCGGGCAGACAGCTTTTGTTTATTTGTGTTTTGTTGAGGCAGGGTCTCTCTCTGTAGCACTGGCTGACCTGAAACTCACTAGCTAGTTCAGTCTGACCTTGAGCTTGTCGCCATTCTCCTGTTTCTACTCTGCCTCAGTTCTGGGACAACAGGCGTGTGACAGCATGTCCCATAGACTGTAGTAGGAGGCTGCTTGTTCATTTCCCGTCCACCCAGACTCCCTAAATAATCACACAGAAATCTGTATTTAATTGCAATACTGCTTGGCCAATAGCTTAAGCGTATTTTTAGCTAGCTCTTATATCTTAAATTAACCCATTTCTATTAATCTGTGTATCGCCACGTGGCTGTGGTTTACTGGTTAAAGTTCTGTGTGGCGCCTGTCTCCTCTGGTATCTCTTTGACTCTGCCTTCTTTCTTCCAGCATTCAGTTCAGTTTTCCCGCCCAGCTCTATTCTGCTGAGCCACTGGCCGGAACAGCTTTATTCATTAACCAATTAAAGCAACACATATACAAAAGGACCTCACACACCATTACTTTGCTATCTTAAGTGCCATGCTATAACACTTAGCGGGAGTGCTGGGGCTCTACACTCTGTAGATGGGTGGGAGATGCCAGCCACCGAAGCCATAGGGTCCGGTCCCCTTGTTTTTCACACAGGAAGATGAAGCACAGGAAAGGAAGCTGCCCAAGGTCACAGCAACCAGCATGCACACAAAGGACTTTTATGCTTCTTGCTGCCCTGAGACAACTGTCGTGGCACGCAGAGACCTCCGCACACCATGCCTTGCCCGTGGAGTTTCCACCCTCACCTCCCAATTCCACAATTTGTGCCAGGGAAGATGGTTCATCAGGTGAAGGTGCTCGATGTGCAAGCCTGGAGGCCCGAGTTCAATCCTCCAGACCCACCTAAAGGGACTGCACACATTGTCCTTTGTTCTACATCAGTGTGCCGTGGAAAGCATGTGCCCCCTGCAACCCACACAAATAAATAAGCACGGATAACTCCAGACCAATGTATGACAGAAAGAGTTAAGAGAGACAAAAGAATCTAAGAAGTAGGAGACGTGCTGAAACATTGATTTTCCTTTAAACAAACATTTAGTCTCAGATACAGTTCGATGCCTTTCTATCTCAACTGTCACAACTTCCTGCTAGCTTCTTCTTCCAGTCTCTCTCAGTTGTGGGCTCTGCTCACATCCAGCCCTGGGGAGATGGCACAGTGGGTCACAGGGCTTGCTGTGCAGGCACGAGGACCTGAACTCCATCTCTAGCACTCAAGTAAAAAGCTGGACATGCCACATGCACTGGTGACATTGGTGCCCTGCAGGGTGGGGACAAGAGGATCACTGAGCTTAGTGGCCTTCAGCCTAGCTCCGGGTGAATGAGAGACTCTGTCTCAAGTGAATGAGAGGCACAGTGATGAATCCAAGCATCCTCTGGTTGTTCACACAGCAGAGTGACCTCCTCTGCTCTCTGTGTGCACATGTCACACATGAGTGCACACTGCAGACACTTGAACCTTAGCTTCACCTTGGCTTAACATATAGCGAGCATCTGAACCACCCAGTAAGGCCAGAGCCCATCCCTTCCCACCATCCCGCTGAGATGAGCCTTTCTTCCTCTGGTGGGGACAAAGAGTGCCACACAAGAAAACTCAGTTTCCCCTTCTCTGTCTTCCCAGGCAAACTTCTCCTCCTAGAGGATGAAGCTCCTGTACTGGTCTACAGGGAGAGAAAGGCTGGGGCCTGGCTCTTGGCTGCAACACCCATGGAATACTTCAGTTCCTTCCTCCTCGAGTTCTTCCTCGGGAAGAAAATGCTTCTAGACTCTTTCTCGTCTGGTTCATATAGGTGCTAGCTCAAATCCTTTTATGTTCAGGACAAAAAATATGTGTTGCTATAACAAAACACCCAGGGCTGAAAATTTACAATAGAGATTTATTTTTGGAGGCTTGGTGTCCAGAACATGGTGCTAATACATGATGGAGGGCTTATCTATCTATCTATCTATCTATCTATCTATCTATCTATCATTTATCTATCTACCTATCTATCTATATCTATCTATCTATCATCTATCTGTGTCTATCTATCTGTCTATCATCTATCTATCATCTATCTGTCTATCATCTATCTATCTATATCTGTCTATCTATTTATCATCTATCTGTCTATCTATCATCTATCTATCTATCTATCTATCATCTATCTGTCTGAGGACAGATGCATTAAGAATCAGAACAGACTCAGTCCCCCCCACCCCGTTCCTTCATGAAGCCAGAGGGTCATGTAAACAAGTGATAAATATTTTATTTTCTCTTAGGGAGTGATAGGAGCCCGAAAGAGAGCAACGAAGCCAGGAAGAAAGCTGGGAAAGGCAGCAGAACTTCATGCTGCTCTTAGTGGGGTGGTGTTGGAAGCTCCATGAGGTTACCAGGTCACCTTGCAGCCAAGAAGTGCAAGAGACAGAGCTTCAGTAAACACAGGGAAAACGTGTTGAGGAGTTTAGGAGGATCCAGGGTCGAGGCTCAAGGTCAAGGGGGCTTCCAGTATGTGAAATGAAATTGAGGGCAGTGGGGATTGCCAGAGTGTCCCTGTACTCTGGCCATCTCTTATGCTGAGGAGGAGGAGGAAGGGGGGAAGGTCTTCAAGATGGGGACTGTGGTGCTCCTCACTGTGAGGCCAGATAGATGCACACACCAGAAGCAGGAATTCTGAGCCTCGTCACACAATCCAGGAGACTGCAGCACAGTGAGCCTCTGCAGAGTCATCCCACCCTGAAGATTCCACAGAAGCACTGCCATGCCCTGGGGCAAGAGCTTCCCTGCTTGCTCCCTGGGTGGTCTGGAGACTCTCACCTAGAGGAAAGGTGCTGTCCCTGTGAGCACCAAGCATTGACCTTGGTTCGCCTGTCCTTGTGGAGCTGTGTCCCTCAGAGGGTCCTTCTATCAGTCCCTCTCAGCGGTCCTTTGCAAACACTGCTAACCCTTTCTATCCCCACTTCTACTCTTGATACCAAAGAAGCACCCAATGCAATGGCTGATGTTGGTACTATGCCATCAAAGGCACACTGGTTCTTGGTGTCAAGGACTTAGGGCCCAGAGCAAAAAATGGTTCTCAGCACGCAGCCTCCTTCTAAGTCATGCTCCTATCGTTCTGTATCAGGAGTAATGTTCTCTGTAGGCACTTGCAGAGGACACCCCGGGAATTAAGACTTCTCAGTACTAGGCTCAGGGTACTGCGATGGGCAAAGCAGAGGTCTCTACTCTCTAAGGGCTCACATTCTGTTGGAGACAGGCAAAAATAACTAGGTACATGAATATAACTTCAAGAACATATGGAAGATATATATATACACATATGAAGACAGCATATGTTTGTACTCTTCATAAGCATTCTACATATATTTGGTTCATATATTTATGCATGTTATATATACATGTGCGTGTGTATGTATATAGAAATAGTATGTGTATATATACGCACAGTTATATAAAAGGAAAGAGTCATTACTCATTGCATATTCAAAGTCTGTATTTTTACCCCGGCTCGCAGAAGATAAATTAAGTCTTAGTTGCTTCTTTGCCCAAG